CATTTAATCACCTGCAATATTACAGTATGCATTGGAAAGTGACTAAAGGTCATTTATTTTTATAGTAAAGTAGGCCGAAACATGCAAAAACTCTAGTATAATCTTTTATTTCTACAAAAGAAAAATGGCAGACTTTTTTTACTGGTTTTAAATAAGACATTGAAAGTCAATTAAAGACTACACAGCTGGTTGAGACAGTGATTTTTTTTTTGCAGTGTAAAATGAAATTGTGAGAGACCTGAAAACATCATGTCATTATGCTATAACACTGGCTGCCACAGATAAGAAAATGGCAATGTTTTCTACTGTATTTGGCTTCATGTGGTGGTGTGTGGCTGCAGTGGGTTGGCTGTGTTTGGCTTCGCTTGAGCTGAGAGAGGAGTGAGAGTGTGTGTGTGTGTGTGTGTGTGTGTGTGTGTGTGGGTGTGTGTGTGTGTGTGTGTGTGTGTTTTGAGACTGAATTGGACTCAGCTATAGTCCTCAGTAGAACAGAAGAAGAGTATTTTTCCTTCACATACACACACACACACACACTCACACACACACACACACACACACACACACACACACACACACACACACGGCTGCATGCCTGCTCACATTCCATCTGGCAGCTCAGCGGCCAATCGGGGACAGGCATGCAAATGAGATGGGTGTGTCTTTTTAAAGCTGGAGTACAGGGTCTGAACGGAGAGTAGAATAGAGTAGAATAGAAAGGAGAGAACAGAGGGACTAGAATATAAATGTAGAGAACAAAATAACAAGGATAGAGGACAGAGAGTCCAAATATCTATAGGATTACGTTTTCTGCAAACATAGACTCGAGCAGAGTAGAATTGAATCAAATAGTTACGACACTGTCCCTGGTTGACCTCACTTTGTGCTTGTGTGTGAGAATCTATGTGTTAATCCATACAATATATTCATGCAAATGTTTATAGGCTGTTCAATTTCCATATATAGACCTTTGTTCCATGCATACCATTTAACGCCATTGCTTTGAAACTGGCCCTCATGTGCTTCAAAGTGACTCTGCCAGACAGTTAATGAAAGGTCAGTGGAGTGTGTTACCATGGCATTCGCCCCCGGCATTTGTCCGGCATGACTTAACACTCAAAAACCCCACTTCACACAAATGATTAATGCATCATGAGAATCATCATTAGTTGCAGCACTCCTGCTCATTTCTCCTCCAGGGTTTAGCAGGGCTGCATGCAGAGCTGTTCTAACCCGTTAGGTGGTAAATGATGTTATCCATGCATGATTATTGACACTGGGGTAAAATGGTTCAGTGTGCATGATGCACAATTCAAACTGTATTCAAGGCCTGTTCATGTATAATGGGAATTCTTATGCACACAAAAGAAGAAAAGAAAAACAGCATGCTTCATGTGTGTGGGAAGCTTAAGAGGATCCTGAGGTTGGAGGGTTTTGTTTTCCTTAGAAATACAGAGAGGCGTCATAAATATGGGCCAGGAAAACTTGGGATAACTCTTTATCGTTACAGAGAACTGGACCTAGCTGGCAACGGATGTGAATATGACATCCGAAAGATGTTGGACTCTTTCATTGGGCAGATTTTGTCAGGTTTGGTTGGAGAGAAAATTGGGTTGGCGCTATTTTAAATGTCGAACGGCATTAGAATTTCATGATGCGTGGACATTAACTAATGATGTTTTGCAGACGTTCTCCATACCATCCATCCATTTTCATCCACTTATCCAGGGCCTGGTTGCAGGGGCAGCAGACCGAGCAAAGCACCCTCCGCAGCAATGCTCTCCAGCTCCTCCTGGGGGACTCCAAGGCGTTCCCATATATGTAATCCCTCCAGCGTGTTTTGGGTCTACCTCCTACCAGTGGGACGTGCCCGAAACACCTCGCCCAGAAGGCATCCTGATCAGATGCCTGTACCTCTTCAACTGACCCCTTTCGACACAAAGGAGCAGTGGCTCTACTCTGAGCTCCCTCCAAATGTGCGAGCTTCTTACCCTATCTCAAAGGCTGAGCCCAGCCACCCATCTGAGGAAATTCATTTCGGCTGTTGGTATCCGCGATCTCATTCTTTCGGTCACTACCCAAAGCTCATGACCATAGGTGAGGACTGGGACATGGATGGACCTACATATTGTTATTGTACATCAAGATGACGTTGATATGAGACGTTTAGAAGACGCTGAACCAACAAAATATCAACGTCATCTGTCGTCAGAATTCTTCGTAAAATAGTGACTTTGTCCTAACATTGAATTTTGGTTATCTAGTGTCACAACCTAAAGTCAACCACATATCAACGTCCTTAGTGGCCAGCTGGTGAAGTTAGAGAAAAGCGTACTTCATGCTCAGATAATTTGGCCTGTGTTTGAAGCTTCTGAAAGCTGAATTTCCTGCACAATTAAAAATGATCAATGAATGGAGGTACACTTTTGTCCAAACGACTATTGTTCTTTTCAAAATACTGGGACAGGTAGTTAATTCTATGAGACATAATGACTGAATGACAATGTCAATTCACCCAATTATTTCTCTTAAGCAACCTCCATCAGCTCTCTAATGCCCACTCCTATTTCTTATCTACACAGTCTTTCCTCCTGGTTATCAACAGGGCTCACAGTTTACTGGAAGAGGTGAACAAAATACAGAGCAGGAAATGTGTGAATCTCTGCTGTGCTGCAGCATGAAGCACATCTTAACGAAATCCAATGAGCTGATGTCCAGTAATGATGTCCTAACCATTATAGAAAAAATTGCACATATACAGCAGCACTGTCTGAATGGGGAAAATTGCGATCTCCTCTTTTGTGCTCTTCTCCCAGCATCATATAGCTGCTATAATCAATATCTTTATTTTAACAATGGATACAATGACGGGGTGTAATGTGAAAGAGTCATTCATCGTGATGAGTCAACCCCAACTGCTGTTCCTCTCAGCTCACTGGCACCTCTCTGCTCCTGGTTTTGATTTTACTGTTTTGGTTCAGTCTCACCACCTGTAGAGGCCGTTTTCAGCAAAAACCGATAAAGCCATGCTACTTGTGCAGCACCAGCATCAGCAACAGGAGGTCTCTGATGCTTCCATCAACAGCACCTGTCTACACAACACACCTGCAGATTATAGACTGAGGAGAGATTCAAATATGTATCAGCATGGCATCTTGCAGAGCAATAAATCAGCCATCCTTTCCCATGCCCTCAGTGGTACAGCCCAGCCTAGTGGCTTCACAGCAGAGTGGACTACTTTATTTAGAACAGGGACGGGGGGGGGGGGGGGGGGTGTTTAAACCACATGCAGACTGCTCGGCTGACTCACTGACTAGAATAGACGTCTGCTTTAAAAAACCTGTGCTGTTTAAAAAAAGGAAATGACACAGAGTGGAAAAGGAGACAGCGAGAACAGAAATAAAGAAAGAGTACTTCCTGCTGATATTGTGATATTTATCATTAAACTCTCAGTGTGCGGCAGTGAAACAGCTCTCCGTCTGTTTCCATGAGTTAAGAGTGCAAAGCTCGGTCAAGCGTGGCGCACGCAGAGGGCATGGCAGTGTACTTTTTGGCATTTTGTGGCTGGAGGTGCACCGCACACATGCAGTGCACTTGGGAACAGGGTGGGATGGGGAGGAATACATTGTCATGCATTAAGGGCTGGTGCCAGGGCTCTCGTTACATTTAGATTTGACTAGGTTCACATGCAACAGTGCAGTTGCAACTGCCAAAAGTGGGCATGAGACAGTTGCTTATTGTTGCTTAATGATTGCTTAATTGTTTCCTGTTGCAGCACTTTCACTTATACGCAACACAGTGATTGTTACATAAATGAACAGGCATGATTCTACAGACACAAGCGTCCAAAATTAAAGACACAATCACTCAGGTGAGACAGGAGATGATATATGCAGCAGTTGCCCAAGGGAACCTGTTGCTCTTGGACAAGGATATGGAGAGAGGATCGGTGACAACAGGTGGTTTTAGACAGGAGGGAGATGTAACTGTCCTCTGAATTTTTATCGCAACAGCCTGAACTGTACTGCAGCACCTGTTATTCTGCAGCACTACTGAGCTGCTTGGACAAGATTTAATTAAAGTGTCCGAGGCAGATATGGCACGCATGATTGCAGTTTGACAGTGCATAACTGTCTGGGATTCACTTTGCAATGATAGAGTTGAGATAAATGTAAAAAGTTAGACATTTAATTAATTATCAGTGAATCTATTGACTTCTTTTTTCAATTACTTGATTAAAAATGCCAGTCACAAGCTCCCAGAGCCCATAAAAGCAGCTTTAAATGTCTTGTTTTGACTGAACAACAGAGCAAACCCCCAAAATATTTAGTTTGCTATGACAGAAGATTGAGAAAACCAGGCAACAGGTGAAATTTCGTCATTTACGCTTTGAAATTAATCAAGGGATGAATTGATTATCAAATATTATGCTTAAAATCTGACTTAAGTTACTGTGATTAATGCATTTCCATAGTTTGATGAGTTTTCTTTTTAATTAGGGTGTCATGAAGTGAAACCCTGAAAGAGTTAATGGATAGCTAATGAATAATTAGTCCATTAGTCTCTATCATAGACACACCAAAGCAGATACTGTTCAGGACACACACACACACACACACACACACACACACACACGTTGTATTAATAGTCAGGTCTGCAGCTGAGGACTGCAACACCTGCCCGCTGAGCACAAACACAATACACAAGTTAACCAGTAACTCGCCAGTCTGTGCTGCTGTTCCCAGTCACACACACTGGTTTGCACAATTAAACACAAACATACGCACACAGGGTACGAGCCCCGGATGTCAGTCAGGATCTGAACAACTGCACCGCCCTCCTGAGGTCCGGCTTCGGGCGGAACAGGCAGCAGAGGTGCGTTTGATATACTGACAGCTGACTTCCAGCAGCATAGTGGATAGTTTATACTCGTGAATATACAAACTATGGGCTCACATGTGGGACATAAAGCTAAATGGGGCAAATTTAGAGCAATAACTCACCACATTAGTGAGGAAATCTCCGTCGCTGAGTTCCTCCAGGTCCAACAGGTTGGTCCCGCCGGACGGGTAGAGTTTCTCTGCTGCTAAACTGTCTAAGATAGACTCCATCATGACTGTGTGTGTCTACAGCTCACTGGACGAATGCTCAGTAGCTAACTATCTTCAAATCAACTCATTAAAATGGAGCAGTTTGTTTTCAGACGGCTGCCGCGTGCTGTGTTAGTATCCAGCTGTTATGTTCACCGCCTGTGTGTGGACCTGGTGAGTCGAGCTGCCTCCAGCTGCTGCTTTCTGTGAGTGACAAACTTTAAAAAATGTCAAAATTCACATCCTTTGGCTGCTGTGGCGGAGACGCTGCTATCCATCCAGCTGTGTGCGTGCGGCTCAGCCTCTGGCTTCTCGCGTGCGCTGTCTCTCCCACGCGCCAATGAATATTCAGAGAAGCCCCGCCTCGTGGCGTCAAATAACGAGCACGCCCAAAACACAGAAATATTAATATTAATGTCAAATCCCATCTTAACAACAGTATTTAATGCTATTAGAAGTAGGCTTTGCTTACTGTGACTAAGTATAATTTTAAGGGCACTTCAGCTTGAGTATTTCAATTTCATGTTACCTAGTAATTCTACATTGCAGAGGGAAATATTTCCCTTATTTTAAAGCCAAAGTTACCCATCATTTTACAAACTAAGGTTTTGTATATGAAATGCAGCACTTATGTATTTTGTATGCAGCACCAACAATACATTGCATCTGTGCTAATAATACCACTATGTAATCAAAATGCAGTAGCAGTATGGCACTCTGATTGGAGCCATTTTACACACTGAGTAGCCCACTTTCACCTTTCATTCCACTTTCCACTTTTCACTGCGATTTTGACATCGCAGAGGATCTTGAGAGCCACCTTGGGTCGGAGGTGAGTCGGCAGATAATCTACCATGACGAGTCCTCATGTGTGAACAAGCCTATGAGCAAGTCGCCCCCTCGTTTGTGACTGGGACTGGATATCTGGCATGCTAGAAAACTGGAGAAGTCTGACACGACTGACAAAGAGCATCAGCCAATGAGAGGCGGGATACTTTCCACGTCAGCACGCAGGAGGATGGAAGAAATGTGAGGAGGACAAGCCGCAGGGTTGCCAGGTTACGGATTGGGTTTTTTTGGGATTGTTTCGAAAGTGGAGTTGCTTATTTGGGCTTGCTCTCGAAACATCGCCTTTCTCTATAAATATCCGTCGCTTCTTTAGGGCTTGTTTCCATAGCCGTGATTGCTTCTTTCTCTCCCAAGATCTGGCAACACTGACAAGCCGGCAAGCAACAACAACAATGGCAGCGTCCACAGGATCACGGGTAGTGCGTTGTGTTTGGACCCAGGCCCTGGAGGCAGATCTGATTCAACAGTGGGAAGAATACCCATGCTTTTACGATGTGTCATCTCCAAGTTAAAAAACGTAGTTTGGTGACATCACCGCGTTATCTGGGGCTCTGCTGGCGAGGGTTTGGTGGAGAAATCTTGTGGTGTGCACACATAGGTCGTAATGCAGTTAGTGGGATTCCCGATGATAGAAACACACGTCGCCAGGTATGAACACTCAAAAGATTACGATAGTCTTCACAACGCAAAATCAGGGTGAAAATCGTGTAATGTGAACTAGCCTTTAAAGGAACAGTGTGTAAGATTTAGGGAGATTTAGTGCCATCCAGTGGTGAGGATTGCAGATTGCAACCAGTTGAAACTTCACCTGGTTAACCATTGTTCAGGAGGTTTTTACCAAGTGCTGAATTATCTGCAGAGGTCTCTTCCTCCCCAAAACAAATGGATCGTGTGATTAAAACTGGTAAAAACACTGAAAAAGTTTCACGTCAGCATGCTGACCCCGCGACCTGGCTTTGGATCTGTGGATGAAAATTGATGGATGCATGGTCTCCTCATCTCCAAAACAAATGGACCCGGCGATTTAAACCGGTAAATGCTGATTAAAGCAGTTTTAAGTTAAAAATCAGTGTCTCTCCAACGCTGTTTGGCATGTCAGAGACAGGCAACTAGACCAGCACCTGTTGATGTGTGCCCACCTTTTATCTCCCATAACTTTTCCTTCTCTCCAAAAAAAATGCAACAGGGGTCTCATTTACAAAACAATGCAGAGGATTCATTAAAAAAAAGTACATACGAACAAAAGCCCAAAAATATTCAACAGTTTCTACAATCAGGCTTCCATCTCACCATCTGCATCGCCAATTTCCTGTCTCCGTAATGTTCGTAAGCATGGGACAAAGATGTAGATTTGGGGAATTATTGCAGCATCAAAGTGCCCTGCACACCCATGACACACTCACACAGATGACTTTAATTATTTTGACTCACTGGCTGTCCTGTCAGGACTGTGTGTGTGTGCACAGACTGGTTTGACATCTCCCTCACTCTCCTGTTAGCCAGGGGGGACAAATTACAGCTTCATCATTCTCATTAGTACAACAAGTTCGGTGACCTGACATCACTGTCAGTACGACTTCCATCTGAGCAGAGGTCTGATCAGCCAGGCTAAGTGGCCTTTAAGAGGCCATGTTGGGTTCATTTGTTTGATCTGTTTTGTGTGTGGCGGCTCACTGGTATGACATCCTGGGACACTTAAATGGAACTGAGCCCTCATTCATGTTATTAGTTCCACCTGGGCTTTTCTTGCCTTAAGACCAAATGTCAGTGGAAATGTCGACCAGCAGGAACTGGAGCTTTTAGTAGAGTGCAGATGTAATATTACCCCCTTTAGGTGAGACAGAGTCATTGCGATTTGATTAATTAATTAGTTAATGTTTTAATGTAAATAAGACAATCAAAATAAGACATACATGTTGTGTTGTGTGTGAAAGAACAACAGAAAAAGACAGCCTGTTTTGACATCCTGATATATTACCTGCAGCTACAACACACAAAGTGGGATTGAAACAGATATTTCTTTCTCTTCCATGATAGCTCAGGCTCGCCCATCTCATTCCTCACCTCTCATCCTGCCCCAGACTGTTTCTCCTGTGAGAGACAGAGGCAGAGACAGAGAGACTGAAACTCTGTCCAGTGTGTTGCAGGTATCAGAGGTGCATGTGTGTGTGCTGCAGCTCTAAACCAGTTACATAATCTGGGTAGATTTCAGTAAAGAGGCTTGTAAGAAGGGCATTTCCAAGTGTTATTTATTTACAGAATTAATCAGCACTAAATAAAAATTTGGACCTGATGATGGCGCTTAATACTTATAAAATACCTACCAAGACATCGACTGCATACAGTGAATAAAATAATGACATTTCCTTTAATATGTGCTACTTGATATTTCCATGGATTTGTCCCTGACTTTGCTGTTCACATCATCGTCATTGCGGAGGGTGTGTTAGAGTTAAACCCTATTGTCATACTGAGCAATGAATACCATCAGGTGTGTGTGGGTATGTTTTATGTCCCAGTTCAAACAATAGTTAGTAATGGTTATGTAATGTTCTCCTGTTACTCTGCATCCTCTTCCCACCTTGTTCTTCCTGGTTTTTCTTTTTTCATGCCTTTTCCATTTCGCTCATTCCCCCTATCTGTGCTTCCTCCTCTTTTCTTTTCACTGTCTCCTTTCTCCCTCCAGATATCAGTTTACGGAGGTGTCCCACCTCAATGAACAGGGTGTCTCTGTTTTTCTCTCACACACATTGGTGTTGCATAACTGTGGTAAACTTCCCTTGAGTACAATAAATGAAACTAATCCTTTTTCAAATTTAAAGGTACCCTGTGGAGTTTTTGACCACTTGGGGCACTGTGGGGCAATGTTTTATGTTGTTTGCATAACTTATAAAGTGGTGCACAACTCTGCTAAGGTAATATGTGTCAGAAGCAGTAATTTGCCAGGTAAAGAGGAGAAGGCAATGTCGACATAAACAAAGCACATTGCAAAACATTCAAAAATGTCTTTGTGAAGGTTGTATAGAAAATGGGAAATGCATCTAACAAAATTGTTGTGCCTGAAGGAAGCAGACAATGAGAAATGCTGAATGTAAATAAAACAACCAAAACCCCACATTTTGCCTTTTATATTAAAATGATCATTCTAATTATGTTTCTCGTATCAAACCCTATTTTCATGATTATTTATGAATGGTATTTTTCATCTTTTTCACAGTCATATTGACAGAGCTGTCATAATTCATCACTCCTGCTTGAAATAAACTCAATTTTGAAACTGTGGTGTAATTAATGGAAGCAAATGGCTGTCTGCAAAGTAGGAGAAACTCCGTTCAAACCAAGCTGCAACCTCCGGGGCTGAAAAATGAAGCAAACATGAAAGTGTCAAAAAGTGCAGTTCCTCTAATGGCCACTTGAGGCTGACTCCAAGAGCAAGTTGGTCCTCATAGACCCCCATGTTATGATGCCCTGCAGAAATAAACATGTTTACAGCCTGGTAAAAATACTGTCTTGGTCTCTATAGCTAATATCCCCGTTCGTGACAATTGTATGGGGATGAATTTTTATGTAATTCACCCATTTAAATGTGCTTAAAGTTATGCATAATTAAGGGCGTTGCCAACAGGTGGGTGCTGTTTGTCAACAAGCTGCTACGACGACATCAGTTACCTAATGTAACCATGACGTAACCCCAGATTCACAGTGCATAGACACAGATGTAGTTGTTCCTGTTTTAGTGTGTTTCGGTGCAAGAAAGTTAATTTTAACATTTTGGTCGCCTAAAAGTCTTGGCCAGCATGTGGTTGTACTAAAATAATATGGTGTAAATAGCTGTAAATGCACTGTGCTAACCAAGCTAGCAACTAGCATCAGGGTTATCTCCGCCCTCTCATCCAAATATGGTCACTTCTGGCTCCAAAATCCAAAAAGACGATGGCCAAAATGGCAAACTTAAGGTTTGAAAACAGGAGTCCACAAACCATTGAGTGATATCATGGTGGCTATATCCATTATTTATACAGTCTATGGTTTAAACTCAACTCAGTTGCACTGATCAGCTTTTATGTGTGTCCACCTCCTCTTGGACACAGGACACAGTCCAGGATGCAGAGTGAGAGCTGGACACAAAGACTCAGGTCATTTTTATATATTCAGCATTCATATATTGTTACAAGGTAAATAACCCTATTTTATATATAAGTGTTAGTTATGGATTAGGGGAATACATTTGATTAAAAATGTATTTTAAAAATATTTGTACAACCCAAAAGCTATGGCTCTGTGATTGGTTGGTTATCAGTTGATGCACGCTGTGACAGACAGGTCTCTGATTGGCTCCTGCTGCGATGATGCAGCGAGTATGACTCATCCTCTATTCTGAGACAGAGCATGAATGCATTAGCTGAAGAGGTGACTCTGGGTTCTGACCTTTCGTCTCCTTGGTGACCGCTGTGATGTCATTACCCCTCCACACATTCATTGTTGTCATCATCCTCTTCTATCTCCGCCTGTCTGTCTCTCAAATACAGCCAGGTTTGTTGGCATCACAAACAAACATCACAGCCTCGGGGTGGAGAAAATATAGTTTATGTTTGTCTGTGTGAGTAAATGATAGCTTCACTCTCCATCACACAATCACTACCAAAACATTACTATTAGTCCTCACATCATCTGTTTGTCTCACTGCCTGTGCTGACCCTGTTAAGAGGCTTGATTGTATTCACTGTGGCACCCACTCATGATGATGAATGTAAATTAATACTTAAGTTTGACTTCTGTTCCCAAGCAGTCTGTTGAATTAGTGGTCAGGGCCGGCACAAGACCTTTTGGGGGCTCCAAGCAGGACCCCCCCTCATCATCATCCAACCTATCACCTCACCTGAAATAAAACTTGTGCTATTAGGACCAAGGTATACAGAGAAAAAGCTACATAAAGAAGCACAGGAAGATTTTTTTAGGGAAAGCTTCATTGAGGTCACAAAGTGGGTACCCCCCCTTCACCATCTCCAGACGGCTTATTGGCAACACCTGCTATCTCAGGTGTACCCCCCTCTGCTTTTACTCCCTTGTACCCCGCTGTTGTGAGTTGTATTTCGGGACCTAAATGGCGTCTTTCCTCTTCATCCATAGACGCTGGCTTGCCTGTTTGGCTGTGCCAGAGAGAGCTTTGATGGCCTGATGCTGGGCTTGGCCTCAATTAAAGGAGGAGATTATGGTCTTTAAATGTTCTGTATTGGACACTCATTAGCATTAATATAGCAGTAAACAACTATTTGCTACATAAAGCTGTAGCGGAGTTATGGTTCGCGATTGCTGCTGTGTGGAACTGCGCTCCTATGGCTGTTACCGCTGATAACAGGACCATGTTGTTGCAAAAGCGTACCCTCCAGGTAAACACTGTAAGCTCTGTCAGCACTGTTACCATTGTTAGCACTCTTAGCACCATTAGCTGCTAGCTGCCGGCTCAGCCACCTCCATGTTGAGAGCCGTGTGCAAACAATCCTGGCTCAGACTCTGAATTATAGATATGCTCTGAATGTCGCATACAGCTTCTCTAAGAATTCAGTCATGGCTGATTTAGTGACACCTGTGGTTACTGGTGATGAAAGCAGGTGTAGTTTAATAATACGTGGGAAAGGCGGACCCCGCCAGTGACAGATGTACTACAAAACATTGAATGGGTAAATACCAGCCATAAATAGAATCAAAAATGGGATGTGGTAGAATGAAAAACTTTAAAGCCAAAATTTGTCTGCACATTTTCATCCTCTGTGTTTGTACATGGAGCCCAGTGGGGTTCTGAGGTTGGTTGGTTGGTTAGTTGTCGTTGGGTGGAGCAGTTGATGTATAAAAAATGATCATGGGGGAGGACAGAGTGGTGAGATGGAAATCAGCACCCAGTCAATTTTCCCATCAGGCCTTTACGAGTGAGCAGCCAGAGCAGTTTATATAAACAGCCGCTCGTCGTTTCTTTCTCTCCTCCGTACAGACGAATCACATGCCAAAGAATCCCAATGTTTTCCTTCCCTGTTATAGTCTCTCTTAATTTCTGCGTTGCCTTTTCCTGTGTCTCTTTTTTCAGATGTCTCTCGCTGATCATAAAGTTCAGAAGTTCAGAGTGTGCCATGAGGAGAAAGAGAGGGAGATGCATGGAGAGGAACATTGAGTTAAATAAGGCCAAGACTGTAATCAAAGCCAGCCTCATTCTTTACACAATGTTATATTATCTACGCACTCCTACAAGTTTATATGCCTTACTTACCAACTTCACTGACTAGCTCACAGACTAGTTAGATCCTTGTAGTTTTGTAAAAGTTATAAAACTGATCGATGAAGTTAACAGCCAGGCGAAAACTACATGGACACCCAACATTATACCCATATGATTCTTAGTCCAAAACCATAGGCATTAATCATCTCCTATAACAACCTCCTTTCAGATTTTCGATCTGACTTCGATCTGGGTCAGATTCTTCCGTATCAAACTCATCAGGGATACTCAAATACTTTTGGTCAAATAGTGAATTTGATACACTGTGGGACTGTGGTGAGTCTGCACAGGATGAAATGGCTGTACCGCCCTCTACTGGAGAATACAACACATTACATATAAGGACATAAGGATAGAGTCAAATGCACTTAACCAAGTGCAACTGTTTAATCATGTCAGTAAACAAAAATATGGGCTGCAATAAGAGAAATATATTCTGATTATCGCCATATTTTGACCCCAACTGCACAGATATTTTTGTCTTCTAAAATAACTTGGTGAGTATCTAAAATGCAAGTTAAAAAGGAACATCATCTGTTTTTGGAAGTGCATTTGGACCACTTTATATTTGCTCCCCCTCTACCCATTAAACTGAAGACACATTTATCTTTCTGTTGTTGTATTCATCCAGATCCAACCTCAGAGATGGAATTGTGCAGTAATATCAACAGAACTGCAAAGTGAAATTGGAGTTTGTATGTTCAGTCATCTCTCTAAGGCAGGCAAGCTCACACTTTTTATCTACAGTGATTTGCTTTTAATATCAAAGCATTTTTGTGATGTTGCTCACTTTCCCTGCATGATCCTTAGTGACACCCACAGGCCTCAACAACCATGAATACAGAAAGCCAGGAGCTCCAGACTGAAGCTAGAAAACAGCCAAATAAGTGAAGAGTGTTCTCAAATGTCCCACTATAAAAACCAGTGAACTGTTTGTTTGCAGTCACCACTGCATGGTCTTAGATCGGGTTAGCTTCCTGGTCAGAGCGTGGCGAACGGTCAGCATGTAGGAGCGGCGGTCAGGAAGAGGGCGCTGCTGATCCAACACCAACCTGTCAGACACGATAGACAAAGCATCACCACCAAGTGCCAGTTGTCTCAATTCCATACCACACACTACCATGCCCTGATCTTTTTACTGTTTTGCAGATAGTATACAAGAAATCAACATGCTTTTACAGGTTTACTCCAAAAGGAAATTATACAACTGTGACTTTGCCTTTTAAACTTCAGAGAAAGACAGCAAAATGTCTTCTTAGATTTTTTTTCCTCTGGAGCTGCTCTGAGAAGGCTTGTTCCTGGTAAATGTTTCATTCCTTACAATCAATGTGGGGGGCATCACTGGAGCTGCCTCATCACCATCCAAATTTATTACTTTTTTTTTTCCAGCTGTGAAAAGCTCCTTCATTTCCTTTGTGCATTGCACTGTGGGAGAACAGTGTCCGTCAACAGCACACTCAAAAGTCAAGCTGTATCAAGTATGCATGCAGGCTGCTGTATTTGTATGCTTTATTCTGTTACATGTCCAGTGTGAACACTCAATAAAATGAATGTATGGAATTGGGACGCAGCTTATGTTGTATGCTTGAGCTTCAACAAATCAATAAAAACTGAGCCAAACCTGATGAGCTGAAACACGGCTGCTTCCACAGCTAAAAAAGCTTCTGCGACCGACAGCTCCCTGAAACTGCACCTACACACACATGCAGTGTAATTCATATCAACAAAACAAAACATAAAAAGTCAGGAGGAAATACAGTGTGTAGGATGTGTACTATTTTAAATCTAAGTATACAAGTGCAAGTGGGAATTAACTGCAAACACTCACAAACAAACCTTAAGTCCTTTGCCAGTCTCTGTCCTTCCTCTGTTGTCACCTCCCTGCCAATTTCCAAGTCTGCCTTATTGGCTACCAGCACTGTGGGAACAACTGACACACACACACACACACACACACATGGTAAAATAAGGTGACAATAAACTGACAGGATGATGTTATGGCATGCTAAGTTGGGAGTCTGTGTTAACATGTTACCTACAGATCCCAGGATGGCTTACCAAACATGGACTATACTGTATGTACGCTACATCTGTGCATGTGTGTGTTTGTGTGAAGGTGACAATAGGCAGACTGAGTGAGAGCAGAGACTCAATGGGCTTTAAGAGCAAACATAGTGAACACAGTGTTCCTGTGGAGATCGTGCAGCTGTTTCAGTAGCTCAACAGCTGGAGTGTTGGTTAGTTGTCCAAAGTCTCTTTCATGTGTCTCCAAAATAATGTTGACACAAACTGATGATGCTGACACTTTATTTTCTATGAAAACACATCAGAGAGTTCAAATAATTTCACTGACTTCCTGCCAAAGCTTGCAGAAGGCATGTTTTTACACACGCGGCCTTTATCTTAATGCTGTCAAATGAGTGTAGCTCATTAAAGGGACAGTTCACCCCACAATTTTTCCTACCCAGACTCTGTTTGGTCTGGTCGATGAGTTTCTTGAGCTGAGGGACCTCCAGGAAGCTGAGGCGTTGTGTGATGGAGTAGAGCAGCAAGAAACCATCTGCCCAGCGGATGGAGGACTCCAAAGAAGCCACACAGTTTTCCTGGAGGAGATAATGTCATGTGCAAAGCTACCACTGGTGCAAACAAAAGGAACTGTTTGACATTTCGGAAATACTTACTAACTGAAAGCCAATATTTACCTTACAGGCTATATCCAATATCTCCAGGTCAATAGCTTCCTGGTCCACCACCCGACTGCATCGGTAGGTCACCTCTGTGGTAAAACAAACACATGTGTTACTTATTTTATCCTTATTATTTCCTCCGTTTCAATGCTGTTTATTGGAATGAATATTTACCCTTCTTATGGTCGTATTCACCAATGAAGCGCTTGGTTATGAAACGAACACACAGTGCTGGAGACACAAAACAGACACCAACAGAATGAACTGCCAGAAACACACACTAACTAATACTGTGCATTCATACACATGAAGTTTGATTCACATATGTCCGTCTGATCTGCAGCCGTCTGTATGTTCATGTGTGACGTGGGTAAGAGGATCACCCTCTTGGTAATGTTACCTGCCTTATTTAAACAAACGCAGAAGTGCTTTCTCTGTGTTTGGATGAAAGGAGTCTGGATGGTTTGTTTGACGTCTGCTGTTTGAGGGCTCTCTGTATTTCCTTTTGGCAGGACACATTAAAAGGTTACTCTGACTTGTTTAAGCTGTTATTTGAGCCTTTACAGCTGAGAAATGAGCAGCTTTTCATCCATTTTTCAGGGATTAAAGCTTGTTGTCTGCCTCTGTCACATCAGCATCTCACCTTACAGATATGATTTATGGTCTTTCTAGCACATAATCAAACGTGTACACATGAACTCCTATGAAATAAATCTGCTGTAAATGTCCTGTAGACAGTGGTGGAGTGTAACAAAGTACATTTACTTAAGTACGAATTTGAGGTACTTTTCTCTCCCTGCCACTTTATACTTGTTATCCACAATAGTTCGGGAGGAAACATTGTAAAAATATTGTGTACAATATGAATATTTTGGTGTAGATGAAGCTATCCAACCATATATTTAAAGGTATATACTTCATCCATAAAATGACCATTTGTATATCAGTTATTCACCCTGTGTCACACTGAATTCATAAAGAAAACTTTGGTTTTCTCGCACGCCTTCACGGTGAACGAAGAATCCAAAAACTCACATTTACACAACTCGTGCAGTACAATCCCAGGATGTCTACAGATATAACCAAGTTAAATAGAAGACTTTGTGAGACCTTTTAATCACTAAAAATTGCTGTCATAAATGCTATTTATTATTGCAATATTCACAGAAATACTGCGGGAAAAAAATATTTTTCCTCAGTCTGTCCAGTGATTGTAAACAGTCATTTGGTCTGTCTGGCTGGAGAAATTTTAACGGTAATGTGACTGGATATATTGAATCTGAATTTAAGATATTTTAAGACTTTTTAAGGACCTGTGGACACCCTGAATCCAAGTCTCATTTGTCCGGTCATATGCTTAGCTCCTCTCAAACAAACAGCCCTTTCCTGACGTGGAACTGATCGGAAAGTGAAACTTATCTCTTTTTTTTTTTAAAGATATTTTTTGGGGCATTTTGCCTTTAATGGACAGGACAGCTAAGAGTGAAAGGGGGAGAGAGAGAGGGGATGACATGCAGCAAAGGGCCACAGGCTGGACTCGAGCCCGGGCCGCTGCAACGACAGCCTTGTCCATGGGGTGCCCGCTCCATCCACCAAGCCACCGACGCCCCAGTGAAACTTATCTTTGCTTTCATTAAACTCCAGACTCCATTAATAAAATGAGTTATTTTACCCTGCTGAACACAGGAGCTGCTGGTCTACCACTGCCTTGATCAGTTGGTCAGTTTGTGTAATTGTGTGACTTCAGTGGATCCGAACTAACCCTTTTAAACATCAAAGAGTTAAGAATTTTCCGTGTTTTTGGATTCTTCGTTCACCAGAGACATGAGAGAACAACAAAGTTTCCTTTACGAAATCAATTAAACACTGTCCGACTAATGAACATAGTCATTTTAAATGCCAGAACATCTCATGGTTCCAGCCTCACAAATGTGAAGATTTGCTGCTTTTCCTTTTTATCTTTATTTTTAGGTAGATATTTTATTAATCCAGAAGGAAATTAAGGACAAGCTTGTGAGAGTTTGACATAGCACGACAATGTCACTCCCTCACTGACTCAGTTTTTCTTTTGAATAATTTGGAGGTTTTTCTGCTTGAGCACTCACACTGTTAACACTTAAAGTACATTTTCCTGATTATACTTGCATACTTTTACTTCAGTAACATATTCAATGCAGGACTTACTTAACTTACTTATAATTAAGTATTTTCACAGTGTGAACAGGATCTGAATACTTCCTCCACCACTGCCTGTAGTGATGGTGTCTTGTACAAAGAGTCAGTTTACTCATCAGTCTTTCGTTTTATGGAGAATAACAACCCAACAAGTCACTTACATCAGACTGCTCTTATTAAATTATGCAAAATGAACACCACACTTTACAATGCCTCATTAAAACATCCTGATCTTTTTTACCACCATGAAAAGTTTTGACAAAAGCCATAAGGCAGTAGTTGGCTGGATACATTTACACTCCAATGCTCATGAGGAGAAAGAGGGACAGCTTTAGACCTGTGTGCGACTTCCATATTTAGCAAAACCTCTTAAACCGTGACCAAAACCTAACCCTAAACTTAACCTCTTCTCATTACTTTAACTAAAGTTTTTCACATGACAAACATGGGATAGTGTGTCTGACCTAAGTGTGTGCACACACATTCCCATCCTGTCTCTCCACCTTTTTGTCTACCTGCGTGTCTGTGCATTAACGTTTGTCTGTAGTTTGTCATCTACCTGTTTTTCCAGTGTTCTGAGCTCCCAGAATGAGGAGTTTAACTGGAACCATTTTCCTGTTGGGCCCAGTATTAGTCCGCTGTCTGTCCCTGCATGGAAACCCTAAAGAGAGGAAGAGTCATCGTGAAGTTGCAACAGAAAATTAAAAGTACAAAACTACATGCAGCCTCACAACCAAACTTTATATAGCAATATCTAAGTATAAAAACAAAAAGGTGTAACTGACACAAACTAAGTAGCACTACGACACTATAGGATGCAATAATACTGACCTTTAAGATACAGAGAGGAGCAAAACTCACTGTGTTCAGTCTCAGACACTGAGCAGACAGGGAATGAAGAGATGGGACTGTCTTCTCTCTCTGAGTGTGTGTGTGAGTGTGTGTGTGCGCTTCTGTTTGGTTCTAAGAGCTCTCTCCTTCTCGCTCCCTCTCTCAGGGAACAGTATATGACAAGAGCCATTTGTCTGGAGGAACTGTGTCCAACTCCAGACACCAGTATCCCACTCTGGATCTATTCAAGACACATATACACTCTCTTTTTGGGGATTGTAGGTGGCTTACAGTCAGTCCCCAAAGGCTTGCCCTTAAATCCCGAGCTCAAGATAAACTTGCTCCCCCCTGAAATCCCCAAATTTTCCAAAAAAGAGTTTCAACATGTGAGCTGCTTTTTTTCCCACTTGCAAGTAGCGTCACAACAATGTCATTTCAAAGTTGAATTGTAATTCACGAAGTGGAAGAGGGATGTCTTCTGTTAGGACGATCTGGGACGATGAACTGGAGATCAAGTGGAGGTAGACTCAGTGTGGGGGTTCCGTCTCAGCCGTTTTTCAGCCCGAGCTGATTACAGGCCCTAGATGGTACCAAGAATGAGACACTGGAAGAGAGGTATGCATCAGATTTAATAAGAAGAGATGAAGGGAGAAGGGAAGAGATGATGAAGGAATGTTGGTCGGGAGGATGATGGATGACGGGAAAGGAAAGGGAAATGAAGGGTGGGTGGAGAACTTTGAGACAGAGCAGGTATCAGTAGGCTTGGCAGGTAATCAGAGGTGTGGTTGAGGCTTGGGCCTGTTCCTGAGCCACGTTAACAAAATTTGCATCTGTGGCTCTTTTTCTGAGGTAATTTTGAAGTATTCTGATGGAGAAGACACCAGAGTCTCACCAGCAGCTTAAGTACGGAAAATCCGGCTCTACGGTCATGAGTGGTATCCATCTTGTTCTTCCTCAAAAAAATCTAATGATTTCCCAAATGTCACACTTTTCCTTTCAGCACAATAAGGTCATTAACGTCTTAATTATTTCCTTTACTCATGCAGTGGCCTTGACCTGACCTCTGGGTTCTGGGTTCCTCTTTTGGGCCTCCTGCATGTCAGCAGGCCTTGCAAGGACCCAGATTTGAGCATATTTCATATGAGAGGATTTGGCAAACGCTGCCTGGAAAATTAAAAATTTGAGGTTTTAATGTTTGAAGTAAAGCAGTTAAGAGCAGAAGCTGGAGGCCACAACTTATTAAAGCTTATTAATACATGAGTAAAATAAGTGAAGGAATGACAAATGAAGTATGTGAGGAGCTGATTTTCAACCAAACATGCAATAAAAGAAAACCACTCAAACTGGAGTAAAGACATTTGTAAGATTTTATTCATATTTCATAGGTTTTTTTTATACGCTTTATTCAACAAAGCTTGCTCACAGGAGTGAAAACCATTTATACTACAAGCATCAAGGACAACTTTAAATTAAGGAGCGACACCGAGTTTGTTTTGAGAAGTGTGCGTTTCAGCAGAGGAAGGAGATGGACTGTGTGTGCTGGGTGTTCAGCAAACAGACGGCTCGTCGACGGCGGCTGCTCCTTGTGTCACGGCTTTGACGCATTTGGCCATCGTCTGGGAAGCTCTGCTGATGGAGTCTGAACACAGAGAAGGAGGGGTCACAAGAGGTTATGAGACATTTTTATATTTTTGTTGTTGCCGTCTGTGTTTGCACTATTTAAAAAAGAGATACACTTACCTGTCATGTAGAAGTCCTTCACTGTTAGCTGAGGTGGCACCAGAGGAGCTGCGATGAGGTCCTGGTTCACAGTCTGTGAGGAACAGAGCGATAAAACAGAGACAGATCATTATCTTCTTCTTTCTTCTGCATTCTGACTCTATGGATAGGATGTGTGTGTGTTTGTGTGTGTACCTGGGCAAGTTCATTCGCCTGCTTGAAGTAGTTTGCCTCCTCTACATCGTCATAACGAACCAGATTAGGAGAAACCTCGGCTAGTCTGGATCGGACATCATCCAGAGAGTCGTAAGGCAGCGTCAAACCAGCCAGCTGCAAACACACAGACATAACTTTTAAACACTCTGCTTTTTGGTCAGATTCAATTGTTAACAACAGTATGAACGTTAGTTTGTGCCATGTCAGTGACGTCCTGCGTACTTCAGATACAGCCCTGAGGATCTTCCAGTCCTCTCTGGCCAGCCCAGGAGGGGTGACAGCCACTCGGGTGTGTTGGCTCCTGCCTTCGGTGTTGACGTAGGTGGCGTTTTTCTCTGTGTATGCAGCACTGGGTAGGATGATGTCTGCCATTGGTGCTCCTACGTCACCATGGTGACCTGGAGGGGATGAAAATGATCTTTAATATATTTTCATTCTCATGGTTTCCACTGAATTTGTGTGTGCTTTGTGGCATGTGTCAGTATGGACGACGAAAAGTGACAACTATCAATAAATGAATACAGAAATAGATGAATAAATAAATGAATATGTAAGTAATAACAGGAGAAATTATACATACAATACATATAAAAATAAATACATATGAGAATACATAAATGCTAAAATAAATAAATGTATAAAGAAAGAAATACAGAGGTTAGGACCTCCTACCTCATGACAAACAGACAAAGGAATACATAAATAAATAAAGTAGTTCTACAAAAACTGTCGAAATGTATTTGACATTTATTTATGTCCTCTTAATTATCAACCTTTATTTATTTATGCATTTATTTCCATATGCATTACATATACTGTAAAAATGTTTATTTATTAATTATTTCATTTATTCATACATTTATTTATTTATGCATATACAGATAGGATAAGATGAGACTGAACTTTATCTTGGTGGAAATTCTTGATGGTGCAAAATATAAATAATTATTTTTATAAAAATAATTTTTGTATTTCCTTTTTATTCTGCATTTATTTACTTATTTATTTAATTATTTATTCCTGTACTTATTTATACATTTCTTTATTTATTTCTGTATGCATTGATTATTTATTTTTCCCTGTATTTATTTATACATTTCTTTTATTTATGTATTTATCTATTTATTCCTGTATTTATCTATACATTAAATTTTTATTTCTATATCTAGCTATTTGTATATATTTATTAATACATTTTTCCCTGTATCTGTTTATTAATTCCTGTATTATTTATACATTCATTCATTGATACTCAAGTTATACCGGAGGACTAATGGTCCTCCATATCTGTGTTTGTGTTTGTGTGTGTGTGTGTGTGTGTGTGTGTGTGTGTGTACCCTGGTAGATGATGAGGCTGTCTTTAGGCAGGTCGGCTCTGGTGATGCAGCCAGCATCAGCTCCCAGCAGAAACAGGACTTTGGGTGGATTTGCTCTGATGGCGTCCACACCAGGCTTGTAGCCCAGGTCCAACGCAGCCACCTGACTGGCCACTCTGCTCACACACAAACACATAAAGAATGAGCAGGAAGCAGCTACTGTACTTCGCTAATAGAGGCCAACTTCATGTGCAAAACAGTCAATCACAAACAACTTGAATCTGCAGAAACTGTTGACAGCGTCACAAGTCCACACCTAAAACGATTGCCAAGTTTTACCTGTGCAGGACATTGAGGACTTTCCACCCCTCTTCCACTCCACTGCTGGTTCTGGCGTTCTGAGCGATGGTGGAGACGGTCCTCAAAATTGCAGCTCCATCTTCTCTCTGCAGAGCGCTGCTGCCCACAACCACCACAGGACGCTTAGCGGCGGAGAGGACCTGGAGACAGGAAAAGGGAAAGGAAAATTTTATGCATAAGTTGCCAGAAATTCATCAGAGAGCTGCCAAAAAAGGAAAGTCCCATCAGTTCATCAATCAGCACCAAAGCTCCCTCCAAACATCCTCTGAGTCAGACTGCGTGCAAGTCCTTCACCTGGCAGAAGGGGTGCGTGCCGTTCGCCAGCTCACTCAGGACTGAAGTCTCCTCTCCCAGATGGTCGTATGAGAAACTCAGATCAACCTGGTGACCCACCATGGCAACACGCAGCTCATTATGGAGCCAACTGACAGAGGAAGAGGAGGAAAAGAGACAGACAGAAAAAAGGGAGGCAAACAAATAACACTGATTACATAACTCTGATTTCATCCAGTATAAAAGCCACTTCTGCTGTTTCCAGGAGGAGCACTGAAATGATAAATGCAAAGAGTGAATGAGTATACCTCTTGCGGATTCTGGCATTGAACAGCGGTGCTTCGTAGCGTGGGTTGGTTCCTATGAGCAGCAGCAGGTCACACTCCTCGATGCCGGTGATGCGAGAGTTCAACAGGTAGTTGGAGCGCAGGTCAGTGCTGAAGAGAGAGAAAGGAAAAACTGTGTCCAGTACAACTAAAGACACTTTGTCGACCCTGTACATTACATATTTACTTTAACTGAATATAACTACAGACACACACACAGTCTTACCCTGCCCCCGCCATAGGGAAGAGCTCCTCAGTGCAGAGGTTTTCGGAATTGAGTCTGTTGAGGAGGTCTTTGAGGGAGACCAGAGCTTCAGCGTCTGCCATGCCTCCTGCGATGGCTGCGACCTCACTGCCCTGCACGCTCTGCAGCTACACACACACACACAACACAAACACATATTCATACGTACAGACTCAAATACGATACAGCAAACATGGCTTGTAAAAATAAGAAGGCATAAACATCACCTGTAACAACTGTAGGAAGAGGAATAAACAGGCAAACTTACAGCTCCAGCGACACGAGTCAGAGCGTCCTCCCAGGTGGTCGGGGTCAGCTGACCTGCCTCATCTTTCACCATTGGTTGGGTCAACCTCTGCCTCTTCAGACCATCGTATGCAAACCTGAGGACACACATTTGGTCATTTTTGTTCTCCTTTGTTGAGCTACATAGCAACTGATCTAACTTTGAAAGAAGACTGATTTCACTTCTTTAATCCAGTCAGAAGTATTTTAACGTTTAGGTTTTACCTGGTCTTGTCGGAGATCCACTCTTCGTTGACGTCTTCGTTCAGCCTGGGCATCACCCTCATCACCTCCCCTCCTCTTGTGCTCACCACGATGTTACTGCCCACAGCATCCAGCACATCAATCGACTCTGTTTTCCTGCAAAGAAATCAGAGGAGGAGGTTAAAGAAAATACATTTACTGAACAAAATGCCTTTCAAAAAAAAAAAAAAAAAAAACAGCTCATAACTTTTTTGTGGTGATAGTTCCAGCCCTACCTGGTCTCCCATGGTCGTGCAGTGAAAGCGTAGGGTTTGGAGGTGAGCGCTCCGACTGGACAGACATCGATAACATTGCCCGACAGCTCTGACATGAACATCTTCTCCACATATGTCCCAATCTGCAGGTTGTTTCCCCTTCCTGTCGTTCCCAAGTCTTCAACACCTGCGATCTCACTGGCAAAACTACACAGGAATGCATAACAGTGCTGTTAGAGGATGTCATATGGTCCACCACCACCAGTATATGATGATGGATATAAGTAAGGATGTTTATGATGGACTTACCGGACGCAGCGTGTACACTGGATGCAGCGGGTCATGATGGTTTTGATGAGTGGCCCGATGTTCTTGTCCTCCACTGCCCTTTTTCCTTCTGAGAAACGACTGCGGTCTGAACCAAACTGCATGGACTGATCCTGAGAACACAGAAGGCAAATAATAAAACCTCAAAATCAAAACTATCTGCATGTAATTTAGGTGAACTAGCCGTTTAACCTAAAGGTAATCATTTGAGGGAGGTTTAAGGGACAGTTCACCCTCAAGATCTAGCCTCTCGTCCAGAGGAAAAATAAGTCCCACACCGATGTGTTGCACATCACTCCACAGTTACCTGTAGGTCACATTCTCCTCCCTGATCACAAATGGGACAGTCCAGTGGGTGGTTGGCCAACAGGAACTCCATCACTCCCTCTCTGATGAGACACACACACATAGATGTTCATCAATGTTCGTTTTAGTACTTTATTAACTTAGGTGACATTTTAAAAGTTTGCGAAAAATCATAATCATATTAGAAAGTTTAAATTTGTACCTGGCTTTGCGCGTCTTCTCTGAGTTGGTGAGGATGTTCCAACCCTTCATGACAGGCATGGCACAAGCTGCTACCGGCTGAAAGGCACACACACATCAATTAGACAGTGGTACTGCAAGTGTTCCTAAGCAAAGGCACCTAGTCTAATGACATTTAAATGTTCAGTTTAATGCACTTTCAGCCTAGTGGCTGCGTGCGCTTTGTTACCTTTGGAGCTTTCTCAATCTCCACCAGACACATGCGACAGTTTCCTGCCACTGAGAGACGCTCGTGGTAACAGAACCTGGGGATCTGGATTCCTGCCTTCTCACAGGCCTGAAGGAGAAAGACAACAGTCAGATTATACAGACAAGAAACCAAAAATACACAACAGGCTCAGATCCATTATATTTAAACGTGTCTTCATTAATGGACTAAATCATGTCAGGACAACATACGACAAAATAGTGCCTATTGGTAACTAGACACATACAAAATACAGTATGTAATATGAAGAAGGGACCACATGAAATACCTGTATTGGTTTGCAGTAGCATAATCTGATGTTTTCTTTACCTGCAGCACAGTCGTTCCAGGCTCCACCTCCAGTGGTTTCCCGTCTACAAACACTTCCACCATGTTGCTGGCTGCACGCACTGGAGTACGCACTGGAAATGATAAACACAACGGTTAAATTTACTGAAATTTAACGACACCTGATAAATAAAATGCATCTAAGTATATTCAGTTTCCCAAAAAAAGTGAGACAAAAATGGACTTCAGAGGAATGAAGCTTTGGACTGATACCGAATATCTTTAAATGAAGTAAATGAATATGTTTTGACACAAAATGATGGAAACAGACTGAACCCAAAATAAAGGAAACTATTCATGGGATGCTTCTGACAATTATATAAACTAGAAAAAATCAGCTAACACACAAAAACACAACTGAGTTTAAAACAGGAAATAAAATGCAAATGATAACAATACTTAAAATAAAATCATTAAGTTATTTGATTTAAAAAAGTATACTAACAAACTGCTCATTAAAACAGAGTGGAATAACTGCTACCTTGACCTTGACACACATACAGATGTGACACACCCACACACATTCGTCTTACCAGTGTTGGATGGAGCCAGGCTGCTCTTGGCAGCTCCGGCTAGAGCCCGGCCGACATTTGGCAGTCGCAACATGACTCTGAGAAAGGAAAACAGAAAAGAAAGCTGTCAACATCTGAGCTAACCCCGGGGCATCCAAGCTTTTTCAAATGGGGGCCAGACTAGATAAACGTGGCAATACCTGAAAGCCAGCTGCTTCTTGCATCACATGGGTTATTAAAAAAAAAAATCACATAAGTATGAGAAAAACGCAACTGTTTCATCTATCAGTGAAAAACTATTTATTTTTCCACGGCTTATGAAAGCAGCGGCCCTCACTGTCGAGTTTATGCTTCTTTGCTGTGGCCACATCTGTCACCTAGCAGGAAATGTCTGCTGTTAGATAACAGTTTGTTTGCTTGATTACAGTTTGTTTATGACATCGTATTAGTTCTGCCTCTGTTGTTGCTACTTAGTGCATGTCTATAAACTGTGTGACAGTTCTGCCACCATGATGTGAAAAGAAAAAAATGCAAAGTGAGCTTGCTTAACCAGTTTACCAATACTGCATTAATCATATTGTATATTTTGAAAGACAAGCCATGAGATGTTTAAAATCAATCCACTTAGACCCTGGGCCAGACTTTGGACGTGACCAAGCTAACCTTATTCTCATATTATGAGTAATTGATCATTTATATTCTTACGCAGATTACTTTGCTGTTGATGAACTTGAACTGAATTTGTTTGGTGTAAATTCAACAAAGCTGACAAATTATTTGGTCAATCTTTTCATAATCTCTGTACTGTAGAGAATATACAGTCCTCTAAAAGGGTTTGTACATCTTGAGGTTTTTGCACAACTTGTTTTACCACAACATTTTTTTAAAATGAAAAGTCTGGGATACATAATATGTTTTCAACAAAATAAACTTGTTAATCAACAAGTTGCAAAATTCAAATGACTGACAACTATGCAAAATTAAGTACCCAACTTGGCAAAAAGACGAAAATCAAATATAATATATAAATATAATGTAATAATATAAATGGGTTTTTTTTTTTGATAGTTACAATATAATATATTGTTTTGCTAAATATCCCAATATCGATATTGTGATGATATTACAAGGTTGACTACTGGTGCTTTCACTAAATATTTACACAGTGGGAATTTTGATAAATAATTAGCAGTAATTTGAATATAAGGACGAAATGGATAAAGGCAAATGATTATACCACTATATCAGTCTGGCAAAAAAAAAAAAAAATCACTTTTAACCAAGAAGAGACAACACTTACAATATTCCAATATGCAAAACTGAAGACAGTATCCAGTCATTTATCACAATACATAATAGAGATATATGGTTCAGCCATAATTAAGTACAGCCATGGTTTCATAACAATTATTAATATGCCACTAACAATAACATCATCAACATTATCTTGCACTGCTTAGATTTCATACAAAGCTGCATAGCTGCAGGTTTTGATCATTAATATTTATTTGATAAAAAAGTTATAATTATTTTGCTTTTCAGCCAGAAGCATGTTTTAGTTTGGAGTTTGGACTCAGATTCAGAAAGCTTTGAGATTATGTTATATGTATATCTTTAGGGTTGAGGTCTCAGTTAGAGGCCAACAAAGCCTGGATAATGCTGCCCTCTTATCCAAGAAATCATATTGGACTCTTTCAGTGGAGTTTATTTTTCAGATAACGTTACTGCACAAACTCAACAATTCCTACAGAGATGTATTAGAGTCAACATAGCTAATGCTAGCTATCTTAACAGCACTGTCAACAACAAGCCACTCAACCACGAAGTCAACGTTTCAAGGAGATAATGAACAGATACGAAAAAGAGATATTCCGAAGCATACTGACATAGCAAAATGTCGGACACGATAATGTACAGTTTTTACAGTAATGTGGACAGTAGACGAAGCCACTATGTAGCATGGACCTTCCAATGTGGATTCATTACTTGCAGGCTAACAGCGTTAGCTAAGAGTATTCAAGGACACGGGCACTGCAATGTTGTAAAGGGCTAACAGCGGCTAATAAGGTCAAACACATAACTTTCCGCTGATACTGCAATTAAAGAATAACTAGTTTTATGCGTTTATGCGTGCAAAATATGTTTCTGATTCTTACCTTTCGCTATTTGGCCTTCTGGACCAGAACAGCGGTGATCTGAGTTTACTCCCAGTCAAATAGCTATGGCGTATTAGCGGAAATAGCACAATGTTCCACTTCCGTTTATCACCAAATTCACAATAAAAATAAATATCGCAGTCTAACAACGGTAAAGAAATTTTAATTTACATCACTATAATATTATATCCGAATTGCCATTGTGTTATATAACATTGACATTTTATTTTATTCATTCTTATTTTTTATATTTATATCTTTATCTGTACTCCGTCTTTGTGCCGCTGCAGCACCTGAATTTTACATCTGGAGATCCGAGATTAATTAAGTTATTTGTCTTTAAATTACATGACAGATGGGCGTACACATGGAAATGAAATCCAATTTTGTTATCTAATTTAATTTTTATAGTCACATCACTGGCTTCTACCGCCGACTACATTTCCCATGATGAACCGGCTGTTACCGGAAGTAGCTACGTGTTCATTTTTGCGACAGTTCAGGAAGCATCTACGAACAGCTACAGAAACGAGCAAGAGTTGGTGCTTTCTCCTGCGAAGGAGTGCAGCAAAACAGGTGAATATTCCCCAGAGTAATGAAATTTAGTTATCTAGCTAATGTCAAACTGTCACCGCTGCGTTTACGCCAAGTTAATTACAAATAAGCCTGGCGAGGCCCTCCCATCTTGTTAAACTAGTTAGCATCTAGCTAACAGTGTCTGCTAGCAAACACAGCGTCAACTAGCAAGGAAATTCAATATATCAGTGCTTTTTGGTGATAAAACTGCTACTGCGCAGTGACTAAACTATGTAACTATTATATAGGAATACACATATGCCTAATTTTAGGGCTTTTGATGTAACATAGTCCACATGTAGCATTGTTGGCAATAGCATCCTCTGTTTCTGTGTTGTCATTCTTTTTTAAGCAGTTTGCGTTAGCAATGTTCGACACTGTTCAGTTATAGCATGCATTAGGACATATGTAACACATTTACAGGGTATATTAGAGAAATTTGAGATACTGGACACTGTAATTGTTTGTAAACCCGTCATAACAAAGGTACATGACTAGTTTGACGTGGTAGTAACTGCTCTCTCTGTGTCAGTAGGTCAGTAATGGTCTAAAAACATCATGTCAGCTCATCAAAATAGTACTACTATGGGTTTATTCCTATTTTTTTTAATTACTTTGTATAATGGCACAATTGAAGCTCCACCTGATCCTTGCAACCCCTAATCCTAAATGTCCCCCTACATTTATATAGCTTAGTACATTATTCATAGCATATCAGGGGCTCTAATGTTTGAATATTGCATGTAAGCCTTAAAATATATTATATTATATTGTCTTGCTGTCCTGACTGATATAAATACAGTTACTGTGCTGTTATATTCGTCACCGAGTCACTGTGAAGGTTAGACTGAGTACAAGACACATGACAGAATAAACAAAACATCAAAATGATCACTAAAAATGTACAGATATAATAGAATAATTTCAGTTTGAGCAAAATATGGAATATTTAAATTGTGCAGAAAGCCTGCTGAGTTTGACATTCATGTTTAAATGCATACCTTGGTGGAAATCTTGATCATATAATAGTCATTAGGAGGAGAGAATGCTAGGTCAGACTGTCTCCTCCTGAACACAACAAATAGTAAGTGTATGAAGACTAAGATATCTGACAGGCTAATTAATTGTTCAGATAAATTTTACATGTCATCTCAAAGATATAGAAGTCAATGTCCACTATCAGCTGCAGACTGGAAGTTTTACTCTACACTTAACTGAATTTCAAAGTTAGATTTAAGCATCAGGTGCTCAAATTGAGCATTTATATAACCCAAAATATTGCATAGTACAGTGTAATCTTTAGTTTAGTTATATTTATGTTGTTTGTTGAGTGCTGAGCCTCCTCAGGATGTTTGCAGCAATTTAACCTGTCTGTCATCTCTCCTCTCTCCCTGTTTCCTACCTCCCTCTTTTTTCATCTGACATTCAGCACCATGTTGCCGACAACGAACAGCAACGGTGCCCTCAGTTCTAGGGACGCTGCACGTCACACGGCAGGCGCCAAGCGCTACAAGTACCTGCGACGGCTGCTCCACTTCAAACAGATGGACTTTGAATTTGCCCTGTGGCAGATGCTTTACTTGTTCACATCACCACAGAGAGTCTACCGCAACTTTCACTACAGGAAACAGACAAAGGACCAGTGGGCCAGGGACGACCCTGCTTTCCTGGTGCTGCTCAGCATCTGGCTATGTGGTAAGTCTTTATTCAATCAAATGTAGCCAGTTGAATCCTAACGTTATAACTCTGCTATCATTAATGAATGCTGTTCCCCTGCAGTGTCAACAATAGGCTTTGGTCTGGTGCTGGACATGGGAGTCGTGGAAACTCTGAAGCTGCTGCTGTGGGTGGTCTTTGTTGACTGTATAGGAGTCGGTCTGCTCATATCAACCCTCATGTGGTGAGTAGTGGGTTTGCCTACCTCAGATGGAAGTAATGAATAGCATTTCCTTCCGTCACTGTAATTGAGACGTTTTATTTATGTATGCCAAACCTTTTTTTTTTACTTGCTAATGTTAACATTTAACTTTAAGTCGGATTCTTTACCATATCTGAATTTCTTTTTTTAGGGTTGTCAGCAACAAGTACCTGCTGAAACATCCCAGCAGAAACTTTGATGTGGAGTGGGGCTACGCATTTGATGTTCACCTCAATGCCTTCTATCCCCTTCTTGTCATCCTTCATTTCCTGCAGCTCTTCTTCATCAACCGTGAGTATATTGCGACTCTGTCAGACTTATGTAACTATGTCTGAAATTACGTCTCCCACTACAAGGCATGAAAGATCCAGTGTGTAGGATTTAGGGGGGTATATTGGCAGAAATGATGATCACCTAAAAAAAAAGAATCGTGTTTTTGTTACCTTAGAATGAGCTGTTACATCGATAGGTAGTGGGGTCCTCATCAATGGAGATTGCTATGTTGCACCACCGTGTTTCTACAGTGACCCAGAACAGATTACATTTTTGCCCTGGCCATCATAGTTCCCAGCCCCTCCATGGCAAGGGCTCCCAGTGAAAACTTCCTGAACGTCCGGATCTTAAAGGGGAACTAATGTTTTTTTCAACCTGGGCCCTATTTTCCGATCTACTTTTGTCTAAATGAGTGATAGGATGTTCAATATTTGACATTTCTCCAGTTCGAGCACGGGCTGACCTGCCTGCAGCCCGTGAGCGCACGCTATATTAATTAATAGGGCACTCAGACAGCGTCAAACAATGTCAAAATACGTCCACTAAAAGTGCATTTTTTTCACACAGAAAGGCTTCACACAGGCTCGGATTGTTAGTATAATTATCCAGCAACATAACGAAAAGGAGAAATGAAGGTCTGTGTTTACCTTTAGCTGGATTCGGACATGTTCCTCTGCCTGTTGCAATTTTTGTATATGTGCTACTGAAGTAACACTGCTCCCTCTCTCTCCTCGTCCGCTCTTCAATTTCAATGAGCTCTGCATCCATGTACGTCTGTGTACTCCGTCTTCAAATTGCCCACTGTGAGGAAAAGCTATGACATGTGACCATGTGTGACCATTTTTAATTTGCTTCATCAACTAAAAATCATACTAACAATGTGTGACTTCAGCAAGTCTGTTTTTGTCACAAGACTAAGACAAAACTAAATCAATATCAGTTGTCAAAATGACCCCTGTTTGGATTACCCCTGCCCCCCTTATCATTATTCTTATAGTTTGTTTTGTGTGTTTCAGATGTGGTGGTAATAAACTCCGACTGGTTCCTGGGATACTTTGTCGGGAACACTTTGTGGCTTATTGCCATTAGTTATTATCTCTACATCACTTTCCTTGGGTACAACGGTAAGTCCCATTCACGTTTAAATATGATACTAAAAATGCAGTGAATAGACAGTTTCTGTAAGTACGTCACTGTGTCAGTGCAACAGTATTTCAGACTGGGTCCGATTTAGGGTTGTCCAGTCACAGTCTGAAAGATCCTTTTCTCCTCCACTCAGCTGAACACCTGCTCCGCCTGCGACCAAAGACAACACAAAAATATGAGCAGTCAGTTCGTTTCAGCTCAGTGTGCGTTTTATGGCGCATGGTGTTTATCCACAGGCAGAGGAGAGACAGACTGTGTCACCTCACCACTGCAAGTTCAAGAAAATTCCCACAGTGGTCAAAAACCTTTTGCCCTTCTGGGGTGAAACACCCGACGGCATCAATGTTGTTCTGACTTTTAAACAGTAATGCTCAAAATATCAAAACAGTGCCGCCCAGTGTGCATACATAGTCAATACAATTAATGCCTACTGAGTGAATGACATATTTGGCTCTTACAGTAAGATTTATAACTTCTGGTGATATTTGTGTTCTGTTACAAACCACAAATGATTCTAAGGACACATTTGCATTTTCCAAAGGTGTGAATGACTGCAAAAATACCAAACATTTGCAAGTTCTTGGGCTTTTCAAAAATCATTTTATTGTTTGGAGTGTTTATTGCCATCTGGGGAAGCAGTCACCATTAAACGCACCCTGTTTCCTGTGAAGGAGTTGGAATGTAGTTAATGTTTCACTGTGAATTTATAGATCTGTAACGTTTGCACAAAGTGCCTATCAATGTTTTCATGTATTCATCTCATGTTATCCACGCAGCCCTGCCCTTCCTGAAGAACACAGTGGTGCTGCTCTACCCCTTCGCTCTGCTCGGCCTCATCTACGTCCTCTCCGTGTCTCTGGGCTGGAATTTCACCAAGGGTCTCTGCTGGTTTTACAAGTTCAGAGTCCAGTAGGACCAGTTTGTCTCTACTGTGGACTCTAGTTGGCTCCAGGCTGACTCAAGATCTGTTTTCAACTCACATCTAGGTGACTACAAATCTATTTCCAGCTACTGTCAGTCAACATCTGGTGTGGAATGACTCTCAGTAAGCTGTGTTGGTTGACACTGAGCTGGTTGACTGTTGCTCAACTTTCTGTTTGGCTCTTATTTTGAGCTGGAGCTCCACAGTCCGTGAACAGTGGTGTGTATGGACAAGTTGCAGAAACGGGGATGGATGACATACAGCTTTTATTGTTGTTCTTTTTTGTATGATTTGTAAATATTATTCTGGCAGGTTGTAATATATAAACAAATGATTGTTTCTGAAGAGAAAATGTTGCTTTGTTTCTTTGAGTTTTCTTTAAAAAAACGACTGAAAAAAAATCAAATCCTGCTTATTGAAGAGAGAAAAGGAAAGTGGAGGAACATGGGATGCAATTTCTTTTTCCTTTTCGTTTTTTCTTAAAGTGTACATTCCAGAGCACTTTCAATAAAAGGTTTTATTAACTTAGGCTGCCTCTGTTTGACTTCCTGGAGGAACAAATGCCTTCCTACTGGTCATCCAGTCTGAGATGTTTAAACCTCCAACCGGGAAGTGCCTCACCATATGAGTTTGTAATGTTCCTGAGATTTTTTTTTTCTTTCATTCTAGTGTACAAATACACCTTAACCTCCCCAGAACACAACATTAGTATTGCATGTAATCAAAAATCTTATTAGATATTATTAGATTTATGGTGTGATCCTTTTGTCTTATTTAATTCAGGACGACAGTCATCAATAATAATTTCCTGATACATTTTTTAGCTCTTATTCAAAGAAAAATAGAGGTAACATTGTGAGACAGTACACACAGTGAGTATCAGCTCATTTATTTGATTAAAAAACAAAAAGAACCAGTATATTGCATAGTAATTATGTACGTGCATAGAGGTAATGATTTCACAGTAGCACAATATGAGTCGTCATCTTTCTTTACACTCAAGTTGCTACAATTACACCATCAGTAATGGATAAAAAACATCCCTGGGATGAGACAATGTCTCTCACAGCCTATAAAATACAATAAAACCTCAAATATAGAAAATGCTAACCAACAAATGTAAAAATATGGGAGACTACCACCACCTTAAGACTCCTGTCACAACTGGAAATAATCTCAAACATGTTAGAAAAAAGGACAAATCATACAGAAACTTCAATATTTCTCAAACCTACTATTAAAGACCAACACCAGTAGAATTAATAAGTAAAAAAGTCTTACAGTTTATTTTTTTGTCCTCTTATGGTCAGAAAAAGTGAGAAATGGTCAGAAAAATGTCTGCGCTGGATCATCTGTTTTGCTATGAGGAATAAAATACCAGGAAAATTCTTTAAAAGAGCTTTCCATTGTGTCTCCACAAAGGACTTCTTCAGAAAACAGGAAAGCTGAATAGTTTTCTCCCTTCAGGGCTCTTAAAATGTGGCTGATGTTTTTATTGCTGCAACATTTCCTCAGTCACTGCACACTGCCACATTTCATCATACTGTATGCAAGACATTGAAATGTTGTGTCTGGAATGATTACAAAAGAGTGGTCTGCACTGGACTTTGCAAAGGTTATGATGTTTACTTGCTCAGAGATGTCCAACTACTTCAGTGCATTCATCAACAGTTGTTTGTGCCTCTCCAAGTCGACTTTCTTCAAGATGACGGCCTTGTGTTTCTTCTTCAGCATCTCCATGTAGTCTACGACCATCATGCCTCGGGTGTAGGTTCCCTCCAGCTCCACTGTCACTGCAACCTGGTGGAGGGAGATGAAGTTGTGAATACTGAAATATCTTTCTGATGTTTGGTGAAAGTAGAAAACTGCGCTTTAAAGGAATACTTAACCTACAAAATGTTAATTTGTTTATCAATTACTAAGTGCGTGTCACGTTGAATTTGTGAGGAAAACGTTGCTTTTCTCACGTGCCTCCATGGTGAACGAAGAATCCAAAAATTCTTGATGAATTGAAGTCACGGGTCCATGTTTAACAACGGCAAAACTATGTCGAAACACTCACCTAACTCATTAAATTACCTACAGTATACTCTCTTCAAAGCCAGACTCCATTGACAAAAACAGCAATTTTACCTCACTGCACACAAGTGCTGCTGGTCTACGTCTGCCTCAATCAGTTAGTTTAATTGTGTTATTGTGTGACTTTGGTGATTTAAAGGGTTAGTTCAAAATCACAAAAGTCATACAATAACACAAAAAAACTACCTGAGTGAGGCAGAAGTAGACCAGCAGTTCCTGTATTCAGCAAGGTAAAATTACAGTTTTTGTTAATGGAGTCTGGCTTTAAAGTTCCCCATCGTAAAGGGCCGTTTGTGTGCGAAGTACTGAGCATATGACTGCATAAATGAGACTTGGATTATGGTGCACAAGTTGTGTGAGAGTTTGTAAATGATGTTTAATACGGTTTTGCTGTGGTTTAACATGGACCCCTATCAATTTAGTTCATCAAGAATTTTCTCTGTTTTTTGGATTCTTCGTTCACTGTGGAGGCATGTGGGAAAAACAAAATTTTCCTCAGCAACTCAAAGAACCACGGGGTGAGGAACTGATATACAAATGGTCATTTAGTGGGTGAATCATTCCTTTAATTGTACCTGTTTGGGTAATGGTTTCCCAACAGAACATGTTGAAGGAATGAAAGCAGTATCCTAACCTCTTCACTCTCCGTTATTAGATTGTCGTCGATGGCTGCGGCTAGAGCATAGGTGTCGCAGGTGTTGAACCCAGGTCCTCCCAGCAGCTCCTTTTGGTAGCGGTCAGTCTGGACCATCTGCGGTGACAACAACTGAACATGAGACATACAAGTGACTTTTATTCCCAATTCTTGTTCAGTGTGTGTTGAAATAAAGCAGCACACTGTCGTACCTTTCTGGTGTGGAGGTAAATCTTGTCCATGAAACGTGCCTTGTCGGTGTCTTGCGCCAGCCATGTGTCACAGAAAGACTTGGGGAGACAAAGACAGGAAGTAAGCCATCTTTTACTCCCACAACACTGATTGAAATACATCAATTAGGTGGTCTATTTGATCAGTTAATTACTGACCCAGGGCAGGCTGTTCCTGCAGGTGAACTCCCAGGTGGCGATGTAGGTGGGGCAGGTGTATCGGTCCAACACAGTGTAGGCAGCCTCAGGGTCAGCTACAAAGTTAAACTCTCCACACACTGTGGTGTTACCCCTGGCTACACACACACACACACCAAATACATTACCCTTCACGCTGACCGTCAAGGTTAACACTTACAGTGCATGTTGACACAGAGATATACATACACTCAGTGTTTCCTCCCATGATGTAGAGCCCCTTCAGTTTCTTCTGGAAGTTAGGATTCAGCTGGACTGCGACGGCCAGGTTAGTGAGGGGCGCTGTAGCCACCAGACTCACCTGCAGTTTATATTAAGATGCAAGTACATCTATCATTAAGCATCAAATAAGTGTAAGGCATAAAAATACACTAATTTAGCTACTAATTTTACAAACTTTTATTTTTTAGACTGGGATTGAAACAGTGTTTGGGGTTTAACATCCACCCACCTCTCCAGGGTTTTCATTGACCATCTTGACAATGGCCTGTGGAGCTCTTTTCTTCTGCAGCAGCTCCAGACCTGGAGCATCTGGATCTGGGACGTCACCCAGCCCGTCCTTCCCATGGAAATCCCCAGCGTGACGTCTGCGGCCCAGCATGGGCTCTGCGCAGCCTTTATACACCGGGATCTGTGAAGCATAAACGGTTTAACACGCTGACGCCACACTCACACCATTAGTCACCATTACATCACATACAAGCTTTGACATGTCATTACATCCAGCCTGCCGCATGCTTTCAGGACACGCAGCGTGTTCTTGCAGGCGTTGTCCAGGGGTGTGTTCCCATGGGAGCAGGTGATCCCCAAAATCTCCACATCGGGGGCCGCGAGGGCCATCATGATGGCCTGTGCGTCATCCACCCCTGTGTCCACATCGAGTATTAACTTCTTCTTCATCATATCTGGAGGAAAGTCAAGAGGGAGGGGGTGTATTTAGATGATAAATCACAAATGTGGGTCCGACCCTCTCTCCCTGTCACTGTGACCCTGCAAATGTCCTCCAAAATCTAAACTACCAGCTGTTTTTGCGCCCATGTGAGCAGCAAACATTCCCAGCTTAAGTTCAGCTGGTGAAAACAGCGACATAGATGTTACAGCTGCACTCAGATCGCTCTACGAGTGCATGCTGTTGCTTAACACAGTCTTGATCAATCACTGAAAACACTAGGTGAGAAACCATGCAGAGAGCAGAGAGATTAAGTTACCTGTCGAAAAGTTTCGGCCACAAGTTAGATCCCTTCCCAGAGCGCAGAGGGACTGTGAAATGAAGCCTTTGTCCGGCGCACTCTGCCTTGAATACTGCAGGCAGGAGGAGGTTTGGCTTAGGAAACGTGTATCACCACGTCCACGTATAATCTTTAACAGCGAGTGCATAGCTGAGACTGGGTGTTGTCAGCTCAACATTCAGGATGGAAAGGATCTTGTTGGATTTGCATGACGACATAGTCCCCCCACACTACTACTACTAGAAGTATTTAGATTGAGGGTCTTGTGTTAGCTGCAGGCAGTTATTTTGGTTTGGAAATCGTTTCTTATCAATGCATTCATCAGGTCATAGGGCATTTTTGGCACGTATCGATTCCTCTTTCTTCTTGAGTGCACTTTTTCTCGTGTTTCAATGCGTAAAGTCGAAAACCACACGTTTTTTTTCTTTTGGGCTATTTTTGCATGTCCTGTCGACTATGCAAACTATTCAGTGCCCCCCAGTCACTGCTCAGCAAAACACACCCTAAAACAGGTTGCAAAACCTGTGAGACAAGGTTCGTTCGAGATGAACTTCACCTCGCCTGGAAAGCAGACGAGAGCAGCCTTCAGTCTGTACAGAAAGTCACAGTAGTTCTCTATGGAAGCGAATCGTGACTAATATTTAAATTAAAATGTATTTGCAGAAATGCTTTTTCATTTTAAGATTGTGGCTGCATTATTTGACTCATAAATAAAATTCATCATCAATCATCGTATTTGCATTTTAATTTTCTTCTTCAAGACTGCTCATTCTTTTACTTAATTAAAATGAAAAAGTCATTTGAGATTTAATTTTCAAAATATGCTCCAGCAAATAGATACCAAAATTCAATTTGAAATGTAAAATTTGAAAATTAAAATGCATTTACAGAAATGCTTTTTCATTTTAAGAATGTGGCTGCATTATTTCACTCATAAATAAAATGAATAATCAATCATCCTATTGCATTTGCATTTTCTTCTTCAAGACTGCACATTTTATGCCATAATCAAAAAGAAAACAAAGAAGACATTGCTATTTCATTTTCGTGGTCTGCCCTGCAAAATAGTGACCATAATTCGAAAATGATTTGGCAATCTGAGCGGCGCAGGAGAGTGACGTCAGGAGCCGCTCTTCTTCAGCTGACCATGGTGCTACCCATCTAATACAGTAGGGGGCGGTGTGCACATTTGATATATGGATGCGTCACAGATCATGGCGCTCCCTGAGATTGTGCTTTCTAAACATCGTAATTTCCCAAAACTGAATAAATACCACACATAGCAACACAAAACTGCTTTGCTAGCTCAATCATGTTGTAACTAAGATATCTGCTGGAAAAAATAATTTTTTCATGGACTGTTCATTGAGGATACGGAGTTAATACGTCTGCTGACTTGACAGTCATTTAAACTGGTAGCAGCTTATACTTGTACTTATAGCTTATACTTTGTAGACATCGTGATTTCCCAAAACTGAATAAATACCACACAGTCCAGCAACCTTTCCGGGGGAAACCCTGTGATATTGACACGTTAAATAATTTTCATACATACAAAGCTGCCTAATATAATTTAGATCTGCCCTGTAAAAGTGTGTGTATAGCGCACTGAATGAGTGTTAGGTGTGAAGAGGACCTTACAAGTGAGCGCACTGTGTTTTCTTATGACAAGCGGTAATAACATCTTCGCACCAAACACTCATTCAGTGCGCTATACACACACTTTTACAGGGCAGATCTAAATTATATTAGCCTAAATATTTAAGATGATTACTTATGTATGCAATGATTTATTGATATTAAATATATATAGATAATATAGATAAACATACAGTCCAACAATTCCTTTGATCAATGGATATTTTTTTGCTTAACAATTTAATGCAGAACAGCAAGATGGCATGATGCAATTTAATTTCTATCATGATCAAGATCATGCTGAAAGCTGAATTAATAGTAGTGTAAATATATCTATGAAACGTATACAAGTTTACAAGGGTCTTTGTTGACTGCAGCTTGTTAGCTATGGCCTCCAGGCTTATTACACACTGATGTCAATAGGTACTCCATATCATATCAGTTAATCTTAGCTGTGCATAATTTATTAATTTCACGAGCAGATTCAATATTCGACAACCATATTGTATGGGTTAGAATCAAACCAAGGCAGTATGTATGAAAATTATTTAACGTGTCAATGTCACAGGGTTTCCTCCGGAAAAGTTGCTGGACTATTATTTAGTTTTGGGAAATCACAATGTCTACAAAGTATAAGCTCAAGCTGAGTGTATCGGCAATCCAACTACAAAAATGCCAGTTGAGGGAATCCGAAGCCATTTTTAACTCATGTTGGTGTGCAAACACGAGGTCCTCCATGGTACACTTTGAACACTTTATTGACTTACAAAAACGTTAAAAACACCTACAAAAAGCCGAGTGTAAAAAAGACTTAAAACGAGCTCGTGCAAAAGGACAAAAATACTACGATTATAACGAAAACCCATTCACTCGACACACACACAGACATGGTTGAAAAACTGTGTGGCCTCCCCTGATTCTCATTCCATAACACTGATCAACTGTGACTCCCCTATCTAACCTACATGTGACTGATCACCACCTACGCCCACAGCTGTGCAGGTAACTCGTAGCAACCCTAGTGCCTACTAACACTGACACGGCACCTGCTACCAGTTTAAATGACTGTCAAGTCAGCGGACGTATTAACTCCGTATCCTCAATGAACAGTCCATGAAAAAATTATTTTTTCCAGCAGATATCTTAGTTACAACATGATTGAGCTAGCAAAGCAGTTTTGTGTTGCTATGTGTGGTATTTATTCAGTTTTGGGAAATTACGATGTTTAGAAAGCACAATCTCAGGGAGCGCCATGATCTGTGATGCATCCATATATCAAATGTGCACACCGCCCCCTACTGTATTAGATGGGTAGCACCATGGTCAGCTGAAGAAGAGCGGCTCCTGACGTCACTCTCCTGCGCCGCTCAGATTGCCAAATCATTTTCGAATTATGGTCACTATTTTGCAGGGCAGACCACGAAAATGAAATAGCAATGTCTTCTTTGTTTTCTTTTTGATTATGGCATAAAATGTGCAGTCTTGAAGAAGAAAATGCAAATGCAATAGGATGATTGATTATTCATTTTATTTATGAGTGAAATAATGCAGCCACATTCTTAAAATGAAAAAGCATTTCTGTAAATGCATTTTAATTTTCAAATTTTACATTTCAAATTGAATTTTGGTATCTATTTGCTGGGGCATATTTTGAAAATTAAATCTCAAATGACTTTTTCTTTTTCATTTTAATTAAGTAAAAGAATGTGCAGTCTTGAAGAAGAAAATTAAAATGCAAATAGGATGATTGATGATGAATTTTATTTATGAGTCAAATAATGCAGCCACAATCTTAAAATGAAAAAGCATTTCTGCAAATACATTTTAATTTAAATATTAGTCACAATTCGCTTCCATAGTTTTCACAACAGCTTTCTTTAAAGATCAGTCACATATAGTCAAGGCTTCACATCTGCACAGATGTCATTTTAAGAATCCTCACATCCCACTGACCACAAGTCCTTGTGTTGCGAAACACTTCAATAATCAGAACAGTCCAATGTTAATATACAGTAGACTCTATGAGGTGCCGTTTGTAAAGTGGCTCGCACTGAAATTAACAGCAACATTTTGCCACATTTAGCTTCAAGCAATGTTTAAAAAAGTGGAATTTTTTAAAGTCACTTTTTTTTTTACCACAGTTACAGCAGTATTTGAAGTATGTTAAATATAATGTCACAGTTAAATCTAAATATTAAATGTTAAACCTAAATGTTAAATCTAAATCTAAATGTCAAATTTTAAATTTAAATGTTAAATCTAAATCTAAATCAAAATGTTAAATGTTAAATCTAAATCTAAATCAAAATGTTAAATGTTAAATCTCAGGACACGTTAATGTTAAATTTAAATGTTAAATCTAAATCTAAATGTTAAATGTTCAATCTAAATGTTAAATCTCAGGACACGTTAATGTTAAATCTAAATGTTAAATGTTGAATCTAAATGTTAAATCTAAATCAAAATGTTAAATGTTGAATCTAAATGTTAAATCTAAATCCACATCTTAAATCTAAATCCAAATGTTAAATGTTGAATCTAAATGTTAAATCTAAATCAAAATGTTCAATGTTAAATCTAAATGTTAAATCCAAATCTAAATATTAAATGTTAAATCTAAATCTAATTGTTAAATCTAAATATTAAATGTAAATGTTAAATCTAAATCTTAAATCTAAATGTTAAATCTAGAGAGGAGAGAGAATTTAGTTATCAAGTATGTCATAATATCTGTATGCTTTTCCTCAGGTGACAGCGTATCCACCGTGTTTGTGGCCGTAGCTGGCACATACAAGTAAGAAGCCTTGGTCCTGTGGTGCCTGGAAACATGGATTATCCCGTCATCAGCTGCCCATCTCTCAGTCCTGACTGCTCAGTGTGCTGCGCAGATCTTCGGGCTGACTGATCACCTGGTGTGGTGCAAATTGAGGGCCTCCATGTTCAACACCTGGGTGTCTCTCAAGCTGGCTGACAAGAAGTACAGGCCTGCAGCCTCTGAACTGGCTCAAGACCCCTCTGAGCCTAATGTTCAATTTTAGGGCTCTGCTGTCTATCAGTGTTTTTGTTTACCATATCAAAACCAAGAACTGTACATTACATCTTCATGTACTTTCCTTACACACATAAATCATTCCATTAAAGAAGATAATTAAAAGCTTCTCAATTAAACGCTTCTGTGATTATTTAATCCCAGTATAGCCTATATTCACAGGAGACATTTTGACGTCTCATAGCAGGAAAGGTACAGTAACCTTCAGTTTCAGGGTCCTGAAAGTGTGCGTGCTGGCTCAAGGCATGGATTAGTGGGACACCTTAAAGGCACTTCATTTATAAAATATGTTTCACCTGTCCGTCCCTGTGCTTTCCATAATTGACAAATGCTACATCCCTGATGTTCTTCCGGGTGTTCCTGGGAACCTCCAGTGAACCAGCAGCAGATGATCACAGTGTCCTTGGAGGCAAATACTTAACAAGGGAGTTAGTGATGTAGCTCGGTCCCAGCCCATGTAGGGCTTTGTATACAAGGAGGAGGAGCTTAAAATCACTTCAAAGTCGAACAGG